ATCACCCCAAGTTTGATCAATGCTCATCTCCACTCATTTTATCACAAGGGTTTTTAAATTCTAGGCTGAGGCCATTTAATGGCCTGAAAAGACTCACACAGTACAGCCAGGGATCCCGCACATAGGGTAGCTAATTCCCTGTGCTGAGGGGCAAAAAGGCCAAGCTCTCACTTCTGCCTCTATTTCTAATTGGGGTGGGTCTCACCACCCATCAAAAATGTAGCATCCCTCACTCATGGAGCATCCCTCACACGTGCACATTAAATACACACTAAATTACACATGCATAGTACTTGTTCTCGACTGTAGCTGCAACTGAAGCTAAGCTTGTACATTGTATTCAGGGGCGGCTCCAGGCACCAGTGCACCAAGCGCGTGCCTGGGGCGGCAAGCCGCGGGGGGCGGCCTGCCGGTCGCCGTGAGGGTAGCAGTCAGGCTGCCTTCGGTGGCATGCCTGCGGGAGGTCCGCTGGTCCAGCGGTTTTGGCGGCAATTCGGCAGCGGGTACGCCGAAGGCGCGGGACCGGCGGACCTCCCACAGGCATGCCACCGAATCTGCGTTAGCAGAGGACCGCCCACAGACATGCCACCGAAAGCCGCCTGACTGCCGTGCTTGGGGCGGCAAAATACATAGAGCCACCCCTGATTGTATTGGCTGACAGACATTTATAAACATCAGATAGCAGTGCACCGTTTAACCTAACCACTTCATACCTTATGAAGTCATTCTTTTAAACATGTGACAAGAAGGTTATAATATTGATACCAGAAGAGGAGTAATGAGGCTTTATTTCTGGGTTGTAATGAGCAAATATAGGCATGTGCCTAGGTAGGTCCATCTAAATTAGTAGAAATACATATCCCCAAAGGGTGTTTTATAATGCACCATTCTCACATGAGTTGTTTCAATGTATTCTGTGACATTTACTTATAGAAGGTAACCTTCTCTCTTGTTTGCAGAAATAAATCTAGTGCCAGTTTTTTCAATTTAAACTAGTTTGATAGCTAAACTCAGCCATAACTTCCCTATTTAAAGAATGAAATCATGGATGCTTCAATTCTTTGTTGTAACTCACTGAAAATTAATTGATACTACTTAATGTGTTTATTGTGGATTGGTGTTCTGTATTGTGTACTAATTCAGCTTTGCTATATTTGTTATATCTAGATAAAGCAGAAGTCCAGTTATCTTCCCAATGTTTATCATGTGTTCTCAAGTTTATCTTAAATGAACAGATACGATTTTTTGTGTAATTAAGAAGTTTAAAGGAGTTATGCCTAAAAAAATTGCTTGAATTGAATTGACTTGACTTAAGCTGCAAATATAGACATAGTGATGTGTTTTGTTTCTCATTCGGTTAGGGAGAATGTGCATTAATAGGCCTGGTCTACACTAGGCTTTTATGTCGAATTTAGCGCCGTTACATTGAATTAACCCTGCACCCGTCCACACCACGAAGCTATTTAGTTCGACATAGAGCTCTCTTAAATTCGACTTCTGTACTCCTCCCCAATGAGAGGAGTAGCGCTAAATTCGAAATGGCCATATCGAATTAGGCTAGGTGTGGATGGAAATCGACGCTAATAGCTCCGGGAGCTATCCCACAGTGCACCACTCTGTTGACGCTCTGGACAGCAGTCCGAGCTCGGATGCTCTGACCAGCCACACAGGAAAAGCCCCGGGAAAATTTGAATTCCTTTTCCTGTCTGGGCAGTTTGAATTTCATTTCCTGTTTGGACATCGTGGCGAGCTCAGCAGCACTGGCAACGATGCAGAGCTCTCCAGCAGAGGTGACCATGCAATCTCAGAATAGAAAGAGGGCCCCAGCATGGACTGATCGGGAAGTCTTGGATCTCATCGCTGTGTGGGGCGATGAGTCCGTGCTTTCAGAGCTGCGCTCCAAAAGAAGGAATGCTAAGATCTACGAGAAGATCTCTAA